AAAGAGTAAAACCTAATCCAGCCTGGTGTTTACAGGGTGCCTTTGGGAAGTGATTAGGGTGAGACAGACTCACAGGGAAAGAAGCCTAAAGACACGCACACAGTCGCGTCACTTGCCACGTGGCGCCCTGTGTCACCTCACAACAGCATCACCAGAGGCAGCCCTCAGCCTCATGCCTGCAGAACCGTCAGCCAAAATAAACCTTCTTTCTTTCTAACTCACCCAGTCTGTGGCCTTGTGTTATTGGCAACAGAAAACAGAAGAATCCTGGACGCCAGGAGCAGCAGAGGCTCCGCCCCACAGGACCCTGTGAGAAACTGGAACACACCATCGAGCTGTCCAGCCTGGGGCTAAGGAAGCTGCTTACCCCCAGCTCCCTCCCCTGCCCTCGCCCTTGAGGATCGCTCCTGGGGCACATCTGCCTGCCTGCGGCACAGGCCAAGGATACCCAGGGCCCAGAGAGCTCCCCATCGTGTCAGAAGAGTCACACATGGGGACTGAGAGGTGCCCCTCGTGCCACCCTAGGTCAAGGCCAGCGTTGTGGTAGCTGCTGCTGACCAGGCCAGTCCTTAGAAGGTGTAAAGGCCCTGGCACGGGAAAGAACTCTGCACGGCTCTCCATCCCTGTGGAACGTCGCCCGCGAGGGACAACCTAGGGCACGCAGGTCCCAGGGCTCGGAGGGAGCGAGGGGCCTTGAGATGACCGTGGAAGTCACGTGTCCATGGTGGTCACACTCTTGCTTCCTGGGACCCAAAGATCAGGAGGTGGAGTTGGGGCCTTCCGGTACTTTCTGGAGAATTCCTTCATTCACTCGTCCAATTAGCAAAGATTCATTGAGCTTATACCGTGGAGCCGGCCCCGTGATAAACTCTGGGGACACAGTGACAAACTAAACCAGCTCATGCAGTTCTCTGTGGCCACCGAGTGCCCCTCGGCCATGAGTGCGCCCTCTAGGATGGGCCTCCAGGAACCCAGGAGAGAAACCACCAGGGCTCCCGGGGCTTTGGGGGCACCTCCCAGTGGATTTCCTAGCGTCGTGGCATGTCCAGCAGCGTGTTCAGCCGACTGCTTGCTTTTTCCAGGGAGAGATCAGTGTCCTCACCCAATGGGGCCAAGGGTGAGGACAAGGCCTGCCTCGGTGGCCTCAAGGTGCCAGGTTTAAATTCAAAGTGCTCAGCACGCGCCCTCGCTCCAGAGTGCACGCTGTGAATAATTAGCCGAGTCCCAAGTGGCCGGCGTCAGGCCTGGAGAGAGCGCGGGCTGCGGCTCAGCCTGCCGCCAGGGAAAACCAAAGAGCACGTTCTGCTGTTTGCTGCTGCACCCGAGGCTCTGGAGCACCAACCAGGCTGGGGACAGTGCAGCACGGCTCTGCTGAAACCTCCGCTTCCCGGCTTCCCCTTCAAAGACAGCCCCGGGCCTTTGTTTGCAGACTCGAAGCTCCTCCTGACCCAAACTGCCACGGCGCCTTGGAGATTAGAGGCTTTGCCAAGGCCACCGAACTCAGGGGATTATTATGTCCTCTGAATTTCCTGGATCTTAAGGTCACTTGGATTTTACTTGCTGCTCCATTTCTCTATTTGCTTCTTCAAAAAAAA